GTCTAGCCATCACAATGTGGTCCTTGTCAAAGTCCCCATTTTTCCTGCTTCTAACACATCAACTTTGAGGATAAAATGTTTACTTGCTGCCTAATATATCCCACCCACTGACAGGCGCCATGATAACCAGATAATCAGTGTTATTCATTTCACCTATCAGTGCTCAGAATGTTATGGCTGATCGGTTTGTTGTATCACACTAGCCTCTTCCACACTGTGATTTTACTATTACATTTGACAAGTGCTGTTGGAAACAGGAAACAGATTATTTTTAAGATAATTTTACTTATTTTTATCACTTGTGCATTCAATTTATTGTCTCATAGGATTAATTTTAGGAGGCTTTGACAGTGGGTGCACTAGGTGTGTTCAAGTTGAGTGGGACACAAGTCTTTGCCTGCTTTACTTGCTCAAATTGTAATTCTGCAGTGCAGGGTGTCTTGAATCCAATGATTATAATTTTAGGCCTTAAAATGTTTTAATTTTGACAGGTCTTAAACATTTATTGGATTAATGACGTTAACATTACTTGTAACTACAAAACGAAACTACCATTTTGCCAATATGCACGTAAAATAGGTCCTGTTGAAACATAGAGAAACCCTGGAGTGCTTTTTGTGTTTATTCACCCTAACGGCTAGCTAGCTAACAACACATACCGACTCCATGTGTGTTTATCTGACAGGTCTCAAGAAGATATAAATTAATCAATCAATCAATCAATCAATCAATTACCTTTTACCTCTTGGCCATATCTTTAGGAAATTTGGCATTCAGTTCATTGCTATGCAGATGACACTCAGTTCTAGCTCTTCATGAGCCTTCTTCCACTCTTCCACTAACTTTCCTTTTTGATTGCTTACTGGAAATTAAGTATTGCTTCTCACACTACTTTTTTTTTTACTTTTATGAACTCTTCTTCACCTGAATTTACGATACATACATTTCCATTGACCTTCCATGCAGTTCTGCAGCTTTTGACATTTACTCACGTAAAAAGGGAAAATGGTGGTACTTTGGCTAGAGAGGCTATTCCTACTGGTGACCAATAGATGATGACAGAATGCTGATAATTCAAGCAGTTTTGCAAAACTGATGTGCACTACTACTACTTTACCTTCAAAAGTATATGTTGCTGGAGAAAGGCAATAGAAAAAACATTTTCTTTCTAAAAGCTATTTATTTAATTAATTGCTGCTTGGTCATATTTAATACTGATGAATGTATGAGATGAACACTGCAACTTCATGCTGCAAGATTTTCCAACTGACTTTACATATTCAGGAACAAAGAGAACAGCATGTATTGATGTTACTTCAATGCAAAGCAACCCAACACTTCCCTGCCCAGCCTGTCCCCTCACTAGTAGATGCCCAGTTTGTCCCAGAAGTCACATATATGACTCCTGGTTCCCACTTGTGCATGCGAGCGTACTGTCAGGTTCATGACAAGCCAGCCAGTGGTGTCAGAATAGCGTGGCCAAACGGGCAGACGCTGTTCCCGGCAGAAAGTTGTTTGTTGGACCCGTGAGGAAGGGTCGCCAGTGTGGGCAAAGGCACCCCAGTAGCACAGCATCCGATTGGATAGCAGTTTCTCTGGTAGTGACAGGGTGAAGTTGGCCACCGAGGCAGAGTGAAAGAGAAAAGGCAGCTCTGCGCCGTGGCAGGCATGCTGGTAGCAGAAAGTCAGACCTGACCACACTCGATGGTCTGACGCCACATGGTCGAACACGTACATCCACACCTCGCTGCCTGCTGCTGTGCCAGCACGTGCTGACCTCCTGGATGGACACAGGAATACGTAGTCGGTGACAATCTGGGGACAGGGAAAAAAGGGAGACAGCTGGTCAGACACATGTCGAGCAATTGGTCCAGACTATTGGACAATTTTGTACAGGCATTCATGGTCCCTTATGACTTTGACGATCCATTGACTTTTCCTCTAGTCGCATTATGAGGTTGACAAACTCATGGCTGTAGGCGCCACGCGCTGCTCAGGCAGCCTTTGTCAACGAGCTGTAAGGAACTTTTGGGAGCTACAGCATGAGCTAAGAGTGTGGTTTAACTCTAGGTGTGTGTGACGACGTATGTGACAAGTTTCCCTCTTCTCAACTGGCTTCGAGTTTGAGTACATGATAGATGGTGATAGACACATGGTCACCTGCCGAGGATTTTTGGAAAGTGCCGACCTTTTGTTTCCAACATGCAAAACTAAGGGCTTTTTCATCACCCTCAGCTGTTTATTTTTTTATGCTAATTACTACTAGTATGCTAACATGCTAGACTAAAATGGTGGACATGGTTAACATTACCAGCTGAACATCAGCATGTTAACATTGCCATTGTCAGCATATTAGTATGCTGACATTAGCATTTTGCTTAAATCACCTCTAAGTAGAACCTCACAGTGTCAGACAGGAGGCTAATTTAGGCCTTATATGCCTGCGTCGTCAGTTTTTTTTTTATCTGTGCCCTTCATAGAGGGATGTGACTCACCACATACCGACAGCAATCATGGCTTTCGGATGTTCTTTTCCTTTTGCTGTTCTTCTTACAAATACATCTCTTCTTCCCCTGACATCAAATTCCTTTCCCCTCACAAAACCTCCCACTCATGACCACACTGACACAGTTTTTTGTATTTTACTGGTTTGTGTGTTGTCATTATGGGTTTTACGTAAATGTGCTTTATTATATTTTTATCCCTTTATTCTTTCATAAATGTTTTTTATTTATCAATTACATCTGTTAAAAGAAGTTACATATTCCCACTTGTTTTGCATGGGCTTGTATTCATGACAGCTGAAAAGGAGTAAACCAATTTGACTACAATTTCGTGGACAAAAGATCTCCCTTGGCCTTAGGATCTGTGGATTACATTTTGGTGCCGATACAGGCTTTTAGCCATGGTTGTTTTTAAAGTTACATGTGAAGTCGATAATTAAACAACACTGCAACAACACTACATTCAAAATGTTTTTGGACCATGGAACCTGGAAAAAATATCAACAAGCTGCTTTGCAAGTTGAAGAATTTCTCAGCATTGTTGAAGGTTTATGCTTTACAGTGCATCTTCTAGTGTTTTTTTTTTTTGTCGAAAAGAAAATGAATAAAACTAATTAGGGTGACATCTACAAAGAGACGGGCTGGGGCAGAGCAGAAAAAACTATTGTTCCCTCTCGGCTAAAAGGAAGCAAAAAGAAAATGAAGGTAGACCGTCTTCTTCTGCCTGTTACCTGGAAACCAGTGTGTCTTTTTCAGCAGCACACAACCTGCGCCCACACACGCTGATGGACCGACATGCACACACGCTCACTCACACACACATATCTACTTCGTTTTTCACACACACTTGTCTGTTTCAAATGGCACAAGCAGAAATGTATTCATACCTAACAGGCACACACTGTACCCAAACACTGATAGTCATGACTCACGCAAGTGTATACAAGCACAGGTAGAAATTAAGTTATGTAATGTGGCCAAGTATAATGTTCTAGAAATATAAGATTTCCTCTGCTATTTCCTCTCCTCTCTCTCCCTCTTCCATGTGAGGTGTCTATATGAGGTGTTTCCATATTTCTGCTTAATGACTGATGCAGAATGTAAAACGTTTTAATTTTTGAGTTAAATAGGAACACATTTTAGTCACAGTACAGTGGAAACATGGTCATATTGTTTTTATTGCAATAAATGCTATGTATGTTAAACAGTCCTTGGTTTCAACATTTGGCTAATCTATTACGCCTGTGCACCTAATCTGTTTTTGTTGTTTGCCACAATTCATTCCCAATGTGCCACAAACACACCAACTGTTATGAAAGCAACTTTAACAAATGCAATTGCCCTCCAGCCACAACTTAAACAACTGAAACAATGCAGAGGTTTTATGTGATAAATATTTATCAGCATGAACAAACAGACGAAGAATAGTGTCAGCTCAAACAGCACAACAGTGAGAGCTTGCTGCGCCACGGAGCATTATATCGTTCTCACAGATTACCACCTGTAACAGAGACAGCTATAAATGGGTCGTTTTAGGCCAAATCAAGCATTATGCATGGTCCATTGTAAGTAATGGCACTATGCAAGAGTGCTGCAGGAATGAGTCCTAAAGCCCTGAAATAAAGGAGCATTTTTGAACCTCTCGTTTCCCTCGTCTTGAAGACAATGGGTTTTTGGGATATTTTTCTTTTTTTTAAACTACACCTGTGAATTTCGAAGCTTTTATGCGTCTTTAAAAACACGATTGCTAACAAGGGGCTAAATGAGAGTACAGAGGTTGTTGCAGATATTAAACATCACAGCAAACACTTAAAGCTTATCTGAACAAATGTGTAAGTATTATAAACCTTTGTTTGGAATTGTTGGGTCTCTGGGTAAATCATTTTACCATCTACCGAGTACCCTCTAGACTTGCTGTATTTGAAAAGTGTCCTGTCCAAACTCCAATGAAAAAATCCCATTGGCTCCCATTTGGCAAAAGAAACCAGAGCAATGCTGACGTCTGAATTTGGCCACAAAAGACTCGACTGTGATGGTTCGTTCTTCACCTTGGAACAGTTGTTTGACAGTTGTTTTCACTTTCTTGTGATCTTCTTCAATAGGTAGACTGAGCAAACTCCATTCAGGACCTGAAGTTGTGGGTGAGCTAGTAAGTCTACCTTGAGTTATGTTTTGTTTTGTTTTTTTGTCAAAGGATATACAGTGATTTTGGTGGCAGGCGTGAATTTACTTTACATTCAGACAATTTAAAAGAACATTAGTTGAAACCTAGTGGCACCCACTTCTATGGAAAAAGCACACGGTTAGTTTTTATGGTAAAGAGATATTTTTTAGCCTTTGTGCAAATGTAAATATACTGAGGCTACAATCATTCTGCACATTTACATTCTGTCAGACATTTCCTTTTTGTGTAAAATACAGCAGACCTTCTTCTCCTTGGTCTTTGCCTGGTTGACATACAACTTACAATATTACCTTTCCTTGTTGGGGGCAGAAACACATTTTGGGTGCTATTTGGAATTGATTTTCTGAGGCATTGTTGGTGTAGAGAACAACATCGCTGCCCCACTGGCAAACATGTCCCACTAACAGCATAGAGTACGAGGCCTACACATCAGTGACCAATGCAACTCTTTTGTTTTGCCTATTTTGACAAAAATCAGCGAATACATTTGTTGTTTTCTGTGAAACACATAAACCAGTTTGGACACAGCCAGCCTCAACCAGACACTCTTCAGTGGCAAGTAGTCTCCCCTTTCAATGGAATTACTCACTGAAATCTCATGGCTGGCAGCCTTTCACATACAGTCGATGAGGTTGTCAGTGGCTGAGAGGCTGAAATTCCTTTGATAACAAAAGAAAGTTGAGCGTTAGTCTCACTGGTCCTTAGCTTTTTTTTTTTACAGCTAGTGTTTTTCATTCTGTAAAAGACATCTCACAGAGAAAGTCTTCATAAAACTGTACTCATAACATTGATGAGTGGTGTGTTCAACTGGAAAGACGCTCATTTTTGTTCTGCTGTTTTGGATGTGTTCAGGGATATTGTGTTTGTGTAATACCGAGAAAATACACACATACCACAAACCTACATAAATGCTACAAAAGGCTGAGCTCTCCACATCAGCCTCCTCCATGACGGACTGTTTGACATTTGTGCTGCTGACCCCCCCCCCAGGCCTCTGGAGAAGTGCCCTTTATGAAGAGATGCAGGAGGAGTGTGTGTATGTGGAGGGGCAGGCTCTGGTTCTGACTCTACTGTCTCCCTACTGCACCATGAACTGTAACTGAATACTAAATATGTCCAGGAGTGTCACCTCCTGACCCCTCTAGCTCCCTGAGGCCGGCACCTTGCACTTTGCATCAAAAAAGCCACGAGACACGAAACAGCTGGAGGCTTTTTTCCTCTGCTGTGTTATCATGAGCCATTCCACCTCTGTATTTCCACAGCTAAAAACACAAAATGACTGAAAACAGTAAAAGAAGAGCAGAACTATGTTATAGTTATAATTAGAATTTGTGCAATAAGTTCATTTATGTGCAAAAATTAAAAACGTGATCACTTATGATGAATTAATGTGTTTGAATTTCTGTCACATTACTGCAGCAGCAGGGATCATGTTACTGATTGTTGCTACTGCGGTCAGTAAAGATTGTTTTATAGCATGCATTAAGCTTATTTCTTAGCATTTCAAAGAAAAAAATTAACTGATTAAGTAAGGTCATCAGTTTACTCAATGATAGAAAAGGGGCCCTTAACGAAAAAGGCTGGGAACCACTGCTTTGTGTCATAGGCTAAAGCTTTCTGATGCCACTTAGCAAGGGTGGATCAGAGGTGGAGTTTGGTGTCAAATGATTTTATATCAATTTTAAGAATAGGGTCTTATGGAAATGAACACATATCATTTAGTGATCTGTTATGGACACATTTTAGACTAAGTTATAGGCTTAAGTTCAGTGAAAAAATAAGTATTTGTAAAAATGTCTTAAGATTTGGGAATTAAAAAATATATATTTATTTCTAATGCCACCTTTAGAGATTCCTATTCAATGCTTTACTAATGTGCCACAATAATGTAATGTTTTTGGGTTCAGATATCTTAATTTGGGAGCTTTTCCAAGCAAATATTGATATATGTGACTGTTTGTGATTAAATTAGTATATTATATATATATTAGTATATTTCTGCCCCCCCCTTATAGTATCCATGCCTTCCCCATAAATATTTCTCTTGATCCACCCCTGCCAGTGAGTTCAAGACAAGACGCTGTAATCTGCAGCTTTTCTGTAACACACATCTAACATCTTAATTACAAAAAAAACATAAATATGACAACAGCACTGTACTGTCAGTACTGTCAGTAACCACTGTCATTAACTGCAGACAAACAGCATCCTTCTTGCTCTGCTACTTCTGTTAGTTCACTGTGCTGTTATAAAATAAGAATGTAAGTCGCACCCCCTCTCAAACCAGATGGACAGTGGAGAACCTCAGGATTTTGCGCGCCAAGGTTAAATCAGATTGAATTTAGCACAAAGCGAAGGAGGTCAGTTTGTGACAGGAAACAAATCTGTCTCACACCATTCCACATTGACATGAATGGGAAGTAAATTGGTCAAAGTGCACCATAAGACATGAATGAGCTGTGAATGTGCATACTACTGATTATGTTTATGGGCTAAGGTGGGTCTCACAGATGATGTAGTCAGATTTTTTAAAAGCACTTTCTGAATAAAAAGGGAATTCAGATTTATCTGGCTGCTTTTATTGAAGATTGACCTTTTGATAAGCGCAGCTTTAAACATATGTTAATAATATGTTTAATATTACACTCAGTTGCCAGGTTTTTTGGTTTTTATTGTAGTTATTTATCTACCAGAGAAAATGCACATTAATCAACATTGCAGTTTACATTACACTTCAATGTAAATGTGCCAGTGTTAGCGAATAGGCTCATTTTCATTTGTAGTCCCTGGGCAGGGCATAACAAATTAGTGCCCAATTTCATCAGTACAGTGCTTCAACAAGTACTACAAGAACAATACAATACAATATAATACCGAATTACATTACAAACGGGACAGAGATATATAAAACAATGAGATTATGTAAAGGCAGGGCCAGAGAAAAGATACGCCTAGTTAAAACAACAGGCCAGCTCCATTCATTCACTTAATGTTCAGTTTTTGTTGAAATTGTTTTTGACTGTAGATTCATTTTGTGGGCAGAAGTTTGTGGTGCTTTTGAATTGCATTACATTATACGGACAGGTTTTTCTAATATTTAGTGTGCCCTCATTAATACAAATGGGGTGTCATGTCACCCAGTGTTTCCTCCGCAGCCGGCCCTCTGTGTCTTATACCTCCTCGGCTGATCCCTCCTGTCACTGTAGCTGTTATAGGGGAGACGAGTCACTTCTTAGCGTGAGCAGTCAGGCTGCATCCCAAACAGACTAACTCCCTGAATCTAGTTGGTCCACATGCTTCACACATATAAATGATAGAGGAGAAATAAAAAGTCAGACTTTGAGAAAAGCTGGAGTTGTAGCTCCCTCTGTAGGCCAACGGTAGGAGCTGTGTTTGAGGAGCCAGGGAGCAACATTGAAGTCTGGAAAGTCTGCTGAATGATGGTGATAATGGTGATAAAGTCTGTCCGTAATGATAACTGCCCGGCATCTCGAGGAAATGTGACACTTTTTTAAGCAATCGCAGCAGCAAAAGAGAATGATTGTTTTCAATTCCCCGTCAGGCTTGTTAGACGCGGAGAAGCTGAAGAGAGCACAGAAGACAGCTGGGTCCTCGTTACACGCCGAGCTCCGGCTGGGTGGGACATCGATCCATGCATGACTGCCAGCCTCACAAAGCCACTGAATTTGTGTTTATTGATGCATGTATGTGTTTGAGTGTGTGTGGGTGACTGTGTTCAAATTTCTGTCTGAGCGTGAGTAAAATATGGAAGAGGAACAAGGCTCTTGCAGAGCAGGTAAAAGTGTAAATGCAGCCTTATTTCTTTGCCTTTTCTCTCCACACTATTTTTAACACATAAGAGATGTTCCACACATTTGTGGTTTCTCACAAATTACACGTTACTGTCAATGCCAGCTGGAAACTGACAGTTTACTGACAGGCACCGGGTAGCTAATGATGAGGAGATAAAGCCACATAAAATGGAAGAATATTAATTATACAGAATGTGCCTCAGTCTGATCAAAAACAGCTCTCTTCACTGACTTTGCCTTCTATGAACTGAAGATTTCTCTGTGAACCTTACCGTCTCTATTGAGATTTAACCCTTAGTCTCTTGAAAATCCTGCTTACCTGCGGTGCTAAATGAAAGGCAGTGACTGGCAGTCTGTCCAGTTCTTGTTGAGATATTTGACTGGATATGTGAAAAATCTGACCTGTTGGTGGCACTAGATGAAAGGTCTACGAATTACAAAAAATCATTAGGTTTCACCATCTGAGTATGTTTGATATCCCTACAAAATAGTCATTGATAATTCACACAAACAAATCAATAGGATATATTCTCTGGGGGCCGTGAATGTCTGGGCTAAAGTGGTAGACAGACTGACCGACATTGCCATGCCTAGAGCCATACTGTACCAAAAACAGTAAAAGAAGAGAAAAACTACAAACCCTCAAAAAAAAAATCAACAAGGTGTGTAGTGTGAAAGTACAGGGTTGAAACTTCTTTTTTCTTTCTTCGCACAACAACTTCTGTCACATTTTCTTTGTACACTATTAGCGCCTTTGAGGACTAAACTGTCAGGTAGTGTGTGCTGTTATCTCTGTTTGTACGTTTTGATTCATCACTACAAAAGACAGAGTTCTTGAAGAGAGCTCAGGTGGGCAGTGTAATGGAGGCCAGGAGGAGGCTATGACAGCTGGCTTTTCACCTCGCCTTTGAGAGTGACCATTCTTTGGTCGGACAACACACAACCTAGTGCAGCATCCCTATTCAGCAGTCTTATTCAGATGCATATACCTCAGTCCCTAGCTTGATATTCTAGTTATTGGTATTCATTGTCATGCTAACCTCACAATAACAGTGTTACATTTTTTTAGCAGGTAATATTTACCATGTCCACCACCGTTTAGTGTGTTACCATGCTAATGGTTGCTACTGAACACAGACCTACAGCTGTGACGGATAGCACTTCATTTGACCTAAATTGGACAAATGGAAATTTATACTGGTAGCGCCAGAGGAAAAGTCAGCTGGTCACCAAAGTTAATACAATTTATCTTGGGTTTTTTTTGTAGCAGATTTCATGGACATTTATCCAGTAGTTGAGATAGTTTTAGTATTGGACTGACCAAACCAATGACCAAACAACCGACTGAACATGCCTCTCTAGACAGTCAAAAGTTAAATCATCAGGTGCAATGAACATTTAAAGGTTCACTGTGTAACATTTAGGAAGGATCTATTGGAAATGGAATATAATATTAATAAGTATGTAAGTTTATTAGTGTATAATTATTAATAATAATTGTTAGATATTTTGTATCTCATGCGTATTGGCAGGCAGTCAGCCAGGGGAATGTATGTGTTTGACAACCACTGAAGCAGGACAAACTTTTTCGGGTGTATTAGACTCAGTACTAAGCTTACAATGGGATAAATGGGATTCCTCATTCATTGTTTTGAATGTCAGTGGTTTGTGAAGTCAGATGAGTGTAATTTGTCCTCCAATAGCAAACAGCATTAGCTTGGCTTTTATACTAATAAATAATCCAATATGTTTAGACATTATCACTGAAATAAATGTTCTTTGGCTCTACCCACCGTGGTTAACTTGACAAATAACTCAACAAATGAGATTATTCTTGGCCCTGAGTAAGCTCTCAGTAAAATGTGTGCATAGTGTATGTGACTGTACTGTATATCAGCTGCAATGCTGAAACTGAAAAGGATTGAGCTCCTCTTACCTGAGCTAGCATATCCCTGCGGTCAGCGTCCCTGTACAGGGGCAGGTACTTGTGCAGGATCCGCAGAGCGTGCTGTTTAAAGATGGCTGTGATGTACACTGTGCTCTCCAGTGCAGAGACTGGCTTGTTGAAGACGCCATACACAAAGATCACCCCCTCCTCTGAGGTTGTACCTGCAGGACAGAAAACAGAGCCTCAGTCCATATAAACAAGTACACTTCTGTGTCTAAGCCTCTAGCCTTAATTTGCACAACCAGTCTGTTGTCTGATTGTCTTCAAGCATGTTTACTTCCTGTTATGACTGTGGGCCATTTTATACCAACAGGTAATTAGACTTCAGCTTTCACATTGATTCACTGGGCTGATTAGTTTTCTAGAAAGCATGTATTACTCAGAGTTTTTTAACAGTGAACATTGCCTTCAGCTCTGTTACGATCTTGGGAATTTCCACATCAAATTATGTTATAATGAGAACCAAAGGGAGTTCAGTGGGAAGCATAGAGCTGAGAGGTTGCAGACTGGCCAGAGGTTGCTCTTGAGGCACAGTAATACCAGAACAAATTGATGATAATGGTAGTTTGTGTAAAAACAGACATGAAGATGAGATTCATTTCTCTATTGTCTTGGAAGATTATCAATTCTGGACCAATTTATTGGTGTTATAGTGTTTTTTTTTCCACATTGAAGCATTTAATGCATGGACTTCGTGTATGTTTGTATATGTATATGTATTTGTGGATTCTTAGAGTTCCCACATAAGGTCAAGTAGTGCAAATGGTTTGGGCAAACAGGCTTAGACAACAGTTTGCAAGATAACCCTTTGACCAATGGTGTTAGAACTATTCAGATTACTGAAGTAAAAGTAGAAATACCACAGGGATAAAGTAAGAGTCCTGCATTCAAAATAGTGCTCAAGTAAAAGCACAGAAGTATCAGCAAAATTTGCTTTGAGTTTAAAAGTAAAAGTACAACTGTACAACTGTACAGCTGCTTCTAGTCTTTATGCTGAGCCAAGCTAACCAGCTGCTACCTGTAGTCTTACACTGAACAGATTTCTCATTTAAGAAAGCAGATAAGCGTATTTCCCCAACTGTTAAACTATTCCTCCAATATTTCAGTTGATATTATGTCGTGGTGCATATTCTTTAATACTTTGAATGAACTAAACCAACAAAAGGAAGTGTAAGGGGTATGATTATTATGTGATCATTTTTGCCCTGGGGGCCCATAGCAGTTTAATCAGGTCCTGACTGTTGTCATTTGATCTACAACAATGTGTGTGCCTGCTCTTCACCTTCACACAATGCCCTCAGCTGCCTCATTGCCCTCTTTATTTGCCATGGCCTGAGGCCATATGGTCATAACAAATGCCTTCTATATTATAAGCTCATTACAGATTCTGTGTGTCAGAAATCAATCTAACTAAACTAAATGTAGTGGAATAAAAAGTATAATGTTTAAGTTAATGGAATGAAGAGGTAAACCAAATACTCAAGTAATGCACCTCAAAATTGTCCTTAAGTGCAGTACAAAAACCAAATGTGCATTGTTACATCCATCAGAATTTGAAGCAGCTTCATAATAATATGGTGCCATTTGTGTGTGTGTTTCTCTTACCCAGCAGCACTGCCTTCTCTTTCTGCCAGTGGCCCTTCTGGAAGGCAGTGACAGCTTGCTCTTTTATTAACTCCCCATCAATATACGGACCCCACGTCTCAAAGACTTCCAGGAACCGGAACGGGTTCACAATCTTGGAGCCTGAGATCAAAAAACAGAGATGGAAAATACAATGGAGTTTTACAACAGAGCTTTATCAGTAAGACCACAGGTCAGACAAAAAGAACTAGATGGAGTTATACTTGCAAGATACTGTAATTATAAGCCTGTTCCTGATTAGACTTTTGGCATTTTTCTTAGGACAGCAGAGCTGATGACGTCATCACTGAGTCGGTGATACTGATCAATAACCCTGTCAACGCTGCAGATATATTACAGTCATTTTGTGCCGTGAAGCAGTAAAACCCCTCTAATTGCCCCTTCAGAGGCCCACTATTCCTTCATTTTCATGATTCTGTTGTCCAATATACCACCCAGGATATAAATAATGTTTTTCATCATCTTTTGCAGATAAACATACTAATATCCTGCCTTATTATGTAACTGTGTGGGCAGCCCTGAGCGTTGCTCTAAATTTGGGGAGCGTAGGCTGGTGTTTGTGGCGCCCTACTTGTTTTCATCTGGGCAGCCAGGACGGCCTGTGGAGTGAGAGACAGCAGGCAGACGATGTTGCTCACAGAGCAGTTGGTCTGTTTAGCAAAGTCTTTTCCCAGCTTCAGGGCATCGTGTCTGGGAAAGAGACGGAGAAATACAAAATTACAGTTCAGCCTGAAGTTTTCTGTAAGCATGCTGGAGACATTCCCACAATGTTTGAATACAGCAAGAGCCCAAGAAAACACAAATCCCTACAAATCAATTTTTTTCAGCCAGGCTCAGTAACCAGTCTCAACCTGAGCTGATGTTTCCTCACCTGGTCTTCAGGGGGATGGAGAAGGGCAGACTCTGCAGGACAGCCTGTTTAAACAGAGGCTTGCTGCTCTGGATCATAAGGTGAAGACTCACTGACTGAGCACCTGCACTCTCCCCAAATATTGTCACCTGACAAACAAATCACAACACAGAGGCTTGATATGAAACACCGAGGTAACACTTACTGCTAAAATGAAAACTGTTTGAACTTGCCAGAAATCTTTTAAGTCGATATCCACTCTCGGAAAATATATGTGCATTTGGTCACTCCTGCCTTCATAACAGGCTACAGTCCATCTGTCACTGATTAACCTGCTTATTATCTCTGATTAACAGTTCTTTTCAGCTTCCTCAAAATTCATTAACATTTTTAATTTCAAAAAATGATTTCCAAACTTTTCCTCTCTGAATTGAATTAAATAACTGAATGAACTATGAGCTTTGTCAACCACTGTGATTTGTACCCCTATTTGCTCTTTTATGCGTGCATATCGCTTTGAAGAAACTCTGTTGCTAGCTTTAAAAAATAAGTGGTATCATTACTGGAGATCTTAGCAAAAGAACACAACACAAAATCAAGGGATATGGTTAGAAAATGATATCCAGTGCGTGTGTGTGTGTGTGTGTGTGTGTGTGTGTGTGTGTATGTGTGCTTGCTTGCCTTGCTTGGATCCCCTCCAAACACCGCAATGTTCCGCTGAACCCAAAGAAGAGCCGCCTGCTGGTCCAATATCCCATAATTCCCTGCAGCTGAGGTGTGAGGGTCTTTGCCCGACACAAGGAACCCAAAGGCACCTTGAATCACGCATCAATTCACATGATCAGCGAGACATAATTGACTCCAGCAAGACATTCATTTCCTCTGAGTTCCAAATTACCGTTCACATATATCTGCTCCTATTTTCAGTCTTGCAGGAAAGCAGAGTAATTACCAACAGGCTCGGTCATTTAAAACAATGACACACACGCACACACATTATCCAGCCTTATACTATCTGGCACACACAAGCACACACACATGCACATGAACACACCATTATTTTAGCTAAGTGATTAATGTCTTCCACGAGATGCCTGCTTGTTGCCTTTACCAAACCAACTGCAGTGCTTAGGTTCATCCTCCCTTTCTCCCTGCACATACAGTACAATTTAGAAAAGGAAGTAAATAGATATGATAATGGTAAATACACAGATAAGGTCCCTGTTTCCCAGTGCTAATACACTAGTATAGGTGCATTAAAGGTGAAATACCACCAAACTTTCTCACCCAGTCTGTACTCCAGGCTTACAACAACAGTGTGGGTGAAGTTGCTGATGAAGCGTCCATCGTACAGCGGCTTGGAGGCAGAGCCAGCAATGAAATCCCCCCCATGAATCCACACCATGACAGGCAGCGGGCTCTGCAGAGGGGAGCTGAAGTTCACATCCACTGGGACGAAGATGTTGAGGTAGAGACAGTCCTCGCTAACCTTTTGGGGACATCAGAGGAAATTCATTCAGTTTTTGTTCATTATTAAAAAGAAAAGAAATCAATATTTAATTTAGTTCTCATGCCTTAAATTAGCCAAACCACAAAACAATATTCCTTGAGTAGGTTTAACCACTTTCTTTCTAGGACTAATTTACGTTGCAATGAAGCTTTCGGAAATATTTGAGCGAAGTGAAAAATGCAACTTGGCCTTCTAAGTTCAAACTAGCTATAGCTTGTAACTGGCTAGTTAGCTACAGTTATCTACTTTGCTAGCCTTCTAACCCAACATCATAAAATGAATGGTCAGTGATGCACTTATCGTCCGTTTTTAGGCTGATATTTTGACCAGAATTCTGTTTTCAGTTAGTTAGCCTCTGCACAGTATCACCAGAATGAGAAGAACAAGAAAACCTCTCGTTACTCCGACACATTATTCCAAGATGGCTACCCCGACTGCTAGCCTTGTAGTCACACCATTTAAATAGCCTAAAGTAGCAACTTTACACATGGCCGTAGTAGTAAATGAAACCAGATGTGCATAGCCCCTTTTGAATTAGCCACATCAATGGTATGTTACTGCTAGCCATAGTGGTTTTGCTGCAATTTTGCCAGTTTTTTTTTATAAAGTGGCAGATATCAAATTAGCTGTGGGAAATGTTTGATATCTTGGACTCAAAATTAAAACTAGGGGGATGATTTTTTTCCAGCACAGCCGCTCATATTTACAGTATGAGCGAACTGTGTGGCCACATGGTGGTCAACGTTGGTACTGCACCAATGTACAAAACAATTATTTTTGAATTTTTGTTATTTTTGACAGCCATATCCTCTATATTTTCTTTTGTAGTTTGGAATTTTTTAAGCAACCTTGGGGAAGTTATGTTTTACAATAACAAACTACTTTTAGGACAACAAAGAATAAATAAAATATTTAGTATTTCCTTAACAATAGACATTTATCTATTCTATTCTTATTGTCTTATTTGTTTTCTTAATACAAATAAGATTTTAGAGGCTTTTTTATTGTATTAGGGGAACTTGGACTCTTGGGCCTTGCTATTTTAAAAAAATCTTGGAGACGGCCCTGCAAGGAGAGGCAGTACTGGAGTCCAGAATCCAGTTCTTGAATTACAGCCATGGCTTAGCTCACACTCAAAAACATTGGTGGTTCTTTAACTCCATCCACTACACCTAGATTTATGGTGCCATGATATCTTTGACTTTGAGAAAGGTTTATATAACATATGACTCTAATCTGTTTTCAGGGCTTAAGGGCCCTTTTCTGTCTTAGTGATCAAGCAGGTAAACTCAGTTTACTGTTGCACTCACTGTAAGTCACTCTGTTCCAAAATACCAAAAGATGCAAACATGTTTTCATATCCTGATGTGAAATGTTATGACAACATGTAAATAAGTGAGAATTGAGTGTTCCTTACTATCTGAGGACACTCCTCAGTGATGGGTCCGCTGCAGGCCTGCACACATGCTGCCCTGGGGAAGGAGGCATCATAAACCCCTGGCCAAGGACTCACAGGTCTCGGGGGCTTCCAGCGGTAAGCCCCAACAGGGGGATCTGCATATGGTATTCCATAAAATATATGGGCCTTATCCACCGTAACCCCCTTGATCTGGCCGTCTTTGGTTAACACCACAGGTCCAGGAGCTCCATTTGTATCCTGATTGACTGGTTTGTCCTTGGTTTGCTCTGTGATTGAGAGGACCTCGGGGCGCCTCAGCTCCTTGAGGGAGTTTATCTCAAAGTCTCTGTTGATGATGAACGGCTCGTCTCTCACCAGCAGCCCGGGGTAGATACTTCTCAGAAAGCTGACAAGGTCGATGTCATCATCATTTTTCGTCGCCTCTCCAGAGGCCAGCACTAAACTTAGTGTGCACAGCAGCAGCAAACAGTGCCAGCTCTCCATATTGCGTTAGAACACTCTTATACTTCCCCAGACCCTGCTGCTCAGATCATGATTTGACTTGAATTATGGTCCGGCAGAGGTAGAAAAGTTGCAGCCCACACAAGCCTGCAGCCTGAAACTCCCCACAGACTGTGCGTACTTGTGACTCCAATTTGGCTGCTTGCTTGTTAAGATTTATCAGACAAAAGCTGCTCTGTCTGATTGCTGAGTGGCGTCCAGTAGACCCTGAACAGCTGGACACAGACTCTGTGATGCAGGACCACTAATAGAGGACAAGTCGTCTTTCCTTTGCTTAATGTAATCACAAAGTATCACGCAGAAGGTAAATTGGGGTAAAAGGACAGGAAGGAAGGAACGAAGTCATTGCTACATTTTTGTTACATCCATTTCTTACATTTTAGATTCATCAATTACTGATTATTAATTAAAACAAAACAATTTATTTGTGTACTTCTAAATTGCAGATAGTGGACTCCTCCTTTCATTAAGGTGCACACTGCCACCTACAGGCCTTCTGCAGCCGTCATGCAGTAGTGATTCTCATGGGGTCCAACATAATTGTTAGGGGTGATGATGGGGCACATGCACACAGAATTATTTTTCCTTTTTCCACACTTTATCATTCTGCTGTCAGGCGGTAAGCGTACTGAGTCATTTCCGGTTTACTTCCTGCTCTGTGTACACTGTTTGGTGTTGTATCTCTGTCCAGTGAACGCTAAAACTAATTGTTTTACTCGTTACAGCGGTTATTTTCCCGCTTAACGATTAAACGTAGACTCGTTCTACCTAAACACTCGGAGTTACTCCTTCTTTTAGCGACTTTTTCGCTATTTTCAAAAGTTTTCCACACACGCTAGTTTCAATAAGCACTAGCAGTTAGCGATGGCTTCTCCCTCTTGTGGCTGGATAACTATGGTGGCTAATGATAACTTCCGGTGGTGCGGTACCTGTTCCTGCTAACTTACTAGTCTCGCCTCCAGCCAGTGAATAATACACTTAATACATGTACCATTA